AATAGATGAGATATTTGGAGCGCGCGCGGTGCGGGCTGAGGGTAATGATAGTAGCAATAAGGTGAATAACGACGTCAACAGAGGGGCCGGAGTGCTGCGGGATAATCTGTTATCACCCGCACCCGGCGCACGTCAGGAGGAGGGAGGTCGAACAACAAGTTCGGTAAGAGCGCTGCGAGCAGGAGCAAGGAGAGGAGGTCTGCTCTCTACTTGTTGTAGACATTATGACCAATACAACTCTTTGTGGTACGTTACTTTACTAGTTCGTGTTTGTTTCTTGTCTTATGCTGTTGCTATGCTCTACACTTACCGCTCTTGTACCTCACCCTAGAAGTACGAGGTTACATATATGTATGTCTAGTTAGATAAACAAACGTGTATGTGACATTTACCCAGTAGAGCTAGGGTTTATCGCATTCTCTGTACTACTCGGTGAGAGAGACTAAATAGGACTTTATGTGTTGTACGTTACACTTTGTGTTTGTCATACGTTTTTCCACGTCTGTCTATTAATCGTGTTACCTAAGGGTGTTTCTTGCACGTGCCAAAAGCCACGAACCTGCTATACGATCATAGCTGCATTAAAATAAAAGCATTAATCAGCATCTTTTGAATGTATTCTGTCTGAATTTTGTCTACCGTTATCGCCTGCATTGCCGAAGACTGCAAACGATCGCCATATGTCCGGATATGTTTACCTCTGTTCTGTCGAAAAGCCTTAATTGCAATCAACGCCTGCTATTCTTGCAACGGGTCAGCAAAACGCTTAATTAATTTAGCACTAAGGTCTTTCCATGTAATGGTAGGTGTTTCAGCTAACATACGACGGCAAAACTCAGCGGCCTGCCCTCCCACTGTAGACAAAGCGCCTGCCCTTCCACTGTTTCAATGCGGCATCGCCCAAATTTAACTCAATCTGCGCCCACTCAATTGCAGCGCGCCAGTCAGTAAATGACGGACCTATCACTAATGAATCGCCCAAAAACCGCGGTATCGCTTGCCTTACCTCTGCCACCCGTAACCTCTGATTAAACGTAGAGGCGGCATTATCAATGCTTGGGTGCAAACTTTGAGTAAAAAGTTGCGCAAGCTCCTCTAGGTTAAAAGGGCGTGTGGGTGACGTGGGAACGGCCATCGTATGAGTTAAGCCTCGTACGTACTAGTGTAATACTATCCCAAGAACATAATTAACCTTAGTATTATGGGGGTAAAGTGCGACAGTAATTCAGCGTATAGCATAGCTACCAGGTATCTGCATTGCTCACCTACCTTAGCAATTTGCTCAGTAGATCGGCTCCGGTCGGCGATGACGGCACAGGGCAGCACCACGCGTGCTTTCACAATAACCCAACTCTTTTACAGGCGGCACCAGTGTAACGGAGGTATTCAGGAGCGGCGTGCGTCTACTGGCGAACTAAGGCTAGGCGTAGGTGTAGGAAAGGGAATAACGCAAACCAACAGAGAAAGACAACAACTACGGTCGTAACGTACCACACAGGCGTTTATTCTCAGACATGATAAAAGTCGAGCAAGATACAAGCGGTATAGGCAAACGTTAGAGACGAGAGAGGGCCGGGAACAAGAGTTAGTCGGGAGGACAGTCAGGTTCTCTCGAGCTCGGCTTGAGCCTCGGCTTTTAAGCCTGTTAGTAATTGGGGTAGGATCATAAACGCGCGCCTTAGTGACACGTTTCCTACGGTGTGATTTCTCACGGTGCGACTTTGAAAGCAGGTGCTTCTCCACCATCGCTTCTTCTCTTTTGTCGCACCAAGGTGTCGCGATCGGGGTTCATCACCACCACGGGCGGGCTCGGATGTAGCCGCTGTTTATCTGTCATAAACTCGCGTCGCTTCCAGCGTGTTCCTCGCTACAAACACATACACACACACACACACGTTTCCGTAAAAAAAACGAAACAGATATTTAAACCAAATTTCTATTAAAACTTCAACCCTTCAAAAGTGCTCCTGCCAGAGCTCGAACCTGAGACCTTTCGCGTGTAAATTAAGCGAACGTGATTACCACTTACTACAGGAAATACGAAAAAACAATTTTTCATCGTGAATAAATTCCCTGCACTTCAAGAAAGATGTTGAAACCAGATTTCTATCAAAACTTCAAGACTGGGGCCGAAGGCTCGTGTACAAGTCCGATCCACATAATTCACTCTGCTCGCAGCATTGCGCTACGATTCCACACTATGCCAATGTACATGAATAAGGCGCTCCGACGTCGGTCGCCGTTGACTGCCAAGATAATTTTCTTCGGCCGATGCCATACGTTCACGATGCGTCAATTTTTGATATATCGGTCATGTAATATGTTCATGCAAGAACATTTTTTCCCATTTTATTGTTTCAACCTAATTTTATTACAACTTAAAGATAATTACGCTTATTAAATTGCTGCTATAGTGTTAGTATAGATACCTACAAATCATTTGAGCTAGTTTTTAACTAAAGATTGAGGATGAGTATCACTGAAACTGTTGGGAAAACTTGAACAGTTGTATAATATAACGCAATACCCGGTAACTCGCCAAGAGACGCTGTACGCCACCAGGGGCGCGTTTCACAAAGCTCCGTTCGCTATATTCTCCGCTATCTCCTCCGCTAACTCCCGAGTTGTCCGCTAAATAGCGGAGGACGCGTTTCACGAACCTCCGTTCGCTAAAGTCGCTCGCTTTTTACCGCACTTTAGCGGACAACTTTAGCGGCAGCTCCTGCACGTCCCGCTAAATTTAGCGGAGCGCTCTATGGTGTATATAAAACCCATAAAAATGCAAAATGCGCACTAAACTACCATGAAATAAGAGGTTACGTAATAAAAATAGTCTCGGCTGTTTATCGTGCATGTTATTCAGTAAAAAGAATTTGTTTAAACTCTGCACTAAGAGAGTATGACAAAGGTTGTGTAACTAGTTTACCATCTATCAGGAGTAGATAATAGGGAATAGAGGATAGAGTTTGTGTATGTATATTCACACGCAAATGTGTGTGTGTGTGTGTGTGTGTCGCGCCGCGCGCGCGCTGTACGCGACGCGCGTGTAAAGTTCGCCTGTGTGTGTGTTGTTCGGATATGGATCCTTTTGTTTGATGGATGTCGATGTGTGTGTGCTTTTTGCTGTGTGCCCCTGCGTCGTTATGTTTCCGTCCGTGTTATGTTGCGTGTGCGAAGAATTTGATGCGTAGCGAGCGGAGATGTATGTTGTAGCGTTGCATGCATCTTGTGTGTGCGTCGTGCGTCGTGTAGAACAGTGTGTGTGTGTGGCGTAATGTGTTGCTCTGCGCGCTATGACGCCCATCATCGCGTATGCGTTCTGACGTGTTCACATCATGCTAATGTCTGTTTCGTGGTTCTGGTGTGTGCGTGCATGCGTTCGTGTGCACGTAAACGTGCGTGCCCTCGTGGTGCGGCACACACATACACACAACACGCACACTGATATAACCATTACACACACACATAACACACACACAATCTATTGCACACAGCACCAATCAACACACATCTATTCACCACACACACAAGACACATACAATAACACACACTGCATTCTTTCTTGAAGACATATCACAGTGAGAAGAGAGCGAGAACGAGAGAACGCGCAAAAGCGCAAACGCCCGATAGCGCACCACACGCACGAGCGCTACGATTCTGCACGAGTACCACAAACACGCACACCCATCAGCACTAACAAGCCACACGCACACTCGCACAATCATCCGTGATGATTAAATCGAGCCTGTCTGGCTGTGCCCAGCCACATCACACAACACAGATAGCGCAATAGAGAGAACACACACCAAGCCACACGCACACGCAAACACGCACACGCACAGAAAGAAGAGAAGAGCGAGAGAACACACGCACCACGCACTACGCACACCACGAACGCCTAGCACCAACACAGCTTTAAAATTTTTTAACCCACACGCACACACACACACCACTACACACACATACACACACACTACAACCTGCCGTAGTTCTAGATGCTGATCTCTTGCACAGCGGCCGTTGCTTCAGTATACTGAAAACGTCAACCTAGCAACTGCAACACAATTTTTGTAGTTATATCTGCCAGCGAACTGACTGCGTTCCCTCCACGAGTGTCTACGACCATTATGCGCGAGGCGCGAGTGCGTCCTGAACACAGGAGTTGTCCGTTCGCTAAGTTCTCCGTTATGCCTCCGTTCGCTAATCAGCGAACGGACAACTAAGCGGAGAACTATAACGGAGCTTTGTGAAACGCGCCCCAGGTGGCGCCGTTCAATTGGCACTATCAGAGCCGTATATAGAGAGATCTTCAGGACATCATGTAGTACGCGTGTGCAAAGTTTCACAATTCTAACCAAAAGTGCGCAATCCATGTGCTTATCTGCCCTACTAGTACCGTAGCATGAGAGGACTTAGATTCGTGGTTGTTTATGGCTATTGCTTGCCATGGAAAAAATTTGTCAGTATCTGGAAGGCAGGGCGATATCAAATATAACATATAAAATAAGCGATTTGGATATCGGAATTTGTTTTCTCCCTAATAATATTACATATATATTACATTGTATATTTATACGAGCTACGATGTGCACGATTAGAGTCTCTCTACATAAAGGGACTCTATGCACGATTAGGGTCCCTGTATACAGAGAGTTACGCTATGAAATCTAGATACATATAAACACATGTGTTATCTATGATCTCTGTAATTCTTGTGTTTATTGAAGCGCGAGTGGTTTAATTAATTAGCAAGTATCTACGCGCGGTATCGCACAGGTTAATATACGCACGGCTATGGGCGGTAAGAAAGTGTACAATTAAACTATCATATGGCGCGAACGATTTGAGTTACACTTCTAGAAATTTAGATACACATAGACACATGTCATAGCTATAATCAAGTTTATTGAAGCACGATTAGTCTAATTAATTACTACGGACCATTGTACAGCGTATATCCATACAACGCTAGTGTAACGCAGCGTTTTAACGTTACTTGATAGTTGTATATAGTGATGTCGTACTCGTAGCCAAAAGACATAGGTAAGAGACAAGTCAAAGAATATATACCATGACTGATGTTGTTTAATTTAGATTCACTATTGATTCACTGTTACAATACACAGGCGGTCGCGTCTAGAGCTGGGCGAGCATTCCCCGACTTTCCTTGTGCTCCGCCTTATATACGCGGGCACGACCGCGAACCACGCATGCGCCCCGCATGCGCCGTCCATCCTTCCGAGCTCTTGGGCTCGAGATAATTGTATTATTGAACTCCTCGGAGGATCCTCTCGGACTTCAAAGGCGTCCGCTAATCCCATTACCGGGCCCCTTCGAGGATCCTCTCGGACCTCAAAGACACCCGCTAACTGTATTACCGGACCCCTCCGAGGATTCGCTATCCCTCACCATGGCGCCGGCTAATTGGCCAAGTGCTGTTTAAGCGATAGGGCACTTAGCGGCACTCGCCACTGTAACTCAATTATAGAATGCCGGCCACACACAGATAGTGTCGATATACATAGATACACATACAGATATACATAGATATACGTGGATACTCATGGATACACAGCTATTGATCGCCCGTGGTTGCTAGGGGCAACGCCGTAGAATGAATGTAGCGACGCGGGGNATTACCGGGCCCCCTCCGAGGATCCTCTCGGACCTCAAAGAGACCCGCTAACTGCATTATTGGACTCCTCCGAGGATTCGCTATCCCTTACTACTGCGCCGGCTAATTGGTCACGTGCCTTCTAAGTGATAGGTCACTTAGCGGCACTTGCCACTGTAACTCAATTACAGAATGCCGGCCATGCACTCATGGTGGTAACTCAATTATAGAATGCTAGCGTAGATACACATAGGTACACATACCGATACACATACATACGCGGATACTCATGGATACACAGCTATTGATCGCCCACGGTTGCTAGGGGCAACGCCGTAGAGTGAATGTAGCGACGTCGAATGAATGTAGCGACGCGGGGAGCCCGCGTCGCATGAGGGGGGGGGGGTTGCCTTGTAACATGGTTGTTACAATTTAAACGAAAAGAAAATCTCACAAGATTTTAATGTTGGCTTGCAAATATACTCTAAATCAAACCATATCTGATTCCTGTGACAACACATGTGCATATCGTGAACAAGTAGAGCTACTAGGTCTACTGAAAAGGTAAGGAAAGAATTACGCAGAGTACAGTCAGAACAACACAACATTTCTACAAAAGTAATCTAGCAAGCATGACCAGCGATTAATAAATAGAAAAAAAACGCGAGCATACTTCAGCAACTGAACAACACTCACTCAGCTGACTCAAACACATCTCACATGCGTATTGTGATCGGCGTATGTGGCTCTAAGACAGGGTTTAAAAAAGGGGTAGCATAATAAGGTTCTGATTGGATTCTTAGTGGTGGAATCTGCATAGAATGTAACATAGGGGGCAGCAGTGGTGGTGTTGGTGGTGGCTCTACAGCAAACGGCTGCAAATGCAGAGGCGTAACTGGGAAGGAGTCCTCCTGGCGATGAGGCGTACATCCCTTACAACCAAATCGACGGATGATAAAGATTAATATCAATATTGCCAACAAGCAAAATCCCAGTACCGCATACGTAGTGGTATGATGGATACGTGCTTGAATATTCCCTACATAACGCAATTTATCATCAACTGAAGCCATGGGAAACGGCTGGTTATTTTTAACTGCATCTGCTAATTTAGCAAAAGCAATATCCAAATCATTATTATTATACAAGGCATCTGGAACAATATCACGCATGCAAGGCATAAGGTTCGAAATGTTAGCCGTAGAGTGTCCTGTAATAGTAAAAAAATGATGCCAAATCTGCGGTAAGTCCGGAAAAGCAAGCGCCTCTATCGATGGCAAGGCTACATCAACATCGGAATGATAAACATAGTAAGGTGGCAAATGGAAATAATCTGAATGTGCTTTACATCCAGCCTGCAATGTTATAATCTGTTGATTAATAATTAGTGTCAGGCTGCCTAACACAATCGTAACAAGATACTGTTACTCGAAAAGGAAATGGCGTAACTAGCAACCAATGATCCTCAGCCAAGTAATATGCGGTGGGGACTGGCGAAACTGAAAATGTTACCGTACGTGTACAATAATCAATTATTCCATGTGTGAAATTACGGAACAGTGCCATTTCACAAGAGTGCACAGCCGATGCTGGGTACACAGGTGTACTCAATGGGCAGAGTTCACGATGCTCCTGAATACAAATTAAAATGTCCTGGCTGTCAGGTGTTATGTAATACTCCTGATCTGGATTAACCCCCAAGTAATGATGGGGCGGTGCATATCGAGCAGCAACCGATGTCGAGGAATTTGAACCTGGTAAATAAACAGGTGTTAAAATTTTATAAATTTCAAAAACAAAATCACGTTGAAGTAAAGGAATCGTAGCTAAAATTTAAAACCCATGCCTCGTAGGAATAACAAAGGCTTCTATGTCATCATAATACCTTAATAAAGCCTGAGCTGGTGGGTAAGGCAGCTGTACTGTAGGAGGAAGGGCCAGTTGTATTCCCTCTAAAATCTTTAACAACTGATGAGGTGGTAACAAATCAGGTGATATACGACCGGCAATTAAACTATCGATTGCACCGCTAATTGCATCCAACGTAGTTTGAACTTGGTCAAAAGCTAATGTTAAGCCATTAATTGCAAAATACATGCGAGTTAAATATTTAAATTCATGCAAGGTGTATCCCGAGAAATCAGCGAGCTCCCTCGTAATGTGTTAAACTCGATCCACTATAAAATCAGTATGATCAATGACATCCTGCAATACTTTAGAGTTTAATTCGGTATTAACTCGCGTTAAGTTAACAACAGTAAGAGTATCATCCATAATTGCCGAAAGATGCGACTGTGACAGTTGTAGATTGGAAAGTTGGGACTGCAGATATTCGATATCCTTATCTGTAGCACTACCGAAGAGCCACTTAGCCAATTTACCCACTCCAGCTATTAGAGCCTGCTTAGCTCGAAGATTATGCAGCGAATGCATGTCATGCACTCGTGCACTCAAAAAAGCATACTTTTTCTGAAACCATTCTAAATGAGTCTACAAATCATGTGCAAAAGCCTCTGTGGAGTACACAGGCATGTCAGTAACCATTTTATACAAGGACGAAGGTGTCTCTAGATTAGTCAATTCGTCACCCAGTTTAATAAGGTAAGTACTCAACGCTGAGGTGATAGCTGAGAAGGGTAGCAACCAGGAATCGTGTGACACTGCGAGGCGACCTTGCTTGACAAAAAGAGCACCCGTCGTTGGTTGAAGCATAGCGGCCACCAATGAGAAGCCCATAAGTGCTAGACACAGCACGAATGCCATTATTCTGTAACCGAGATAAGGGTTAAAACATTAAGATGTACACAAGCATGGCACTACTTAACGATATGATCTCGCAATGTGGCTAAAGGAATCAAATCCTCAGCCTCCCATTGAGAACTGTGCTGTGAACTTGTATCCTCATCGTAGTTGTGGACAGCTGTGCTGTGATCAGCTGCACCTACTATACGCGTTTGACAAAGAGGGCGCGCACGCGTTGTCTGCATGCCAGGGCCAGAGACCGCCTTGGAATCGAGCCAAACACCTGTCGGATATGCTGGGCGTAAACTATCGACATTTACATCATGCACTGTTGCCTTATGCACATGCTTAATACGGCCCTGCACCGGCGAGAGCTGTTTCTGTGCCACAAAATACGGCGCCAATAGTTTGCGAGTTTGCGTGAAGCGCCCACAGGAACCGTCGGATTATACCAATAGACTTCATCACTGCCCTGAAATTTCTGTTCTTTAGCACGTCGATCGTATAAGCGTTTGTTTCGCTGGCGAATGTGCTTTGTATGTTTATGCATGTATGTGCAGGCTTCACGCATGGTATCTAACCTAACAGACACAGGATCAGTTGCATACGTACGTTCACGGAGACGCAAGAACGTATTCAAGAGTAAGGCAAGCGTTCTCCCATACATTAAATAATATGGAGTTGTGCCCGTAGTAGCGTGTTGCGCTGTACGATACGCAAATAAAATAGGGTCTAACTTTTCATCCCACGATACATGTAACCGGTCAATAACGCAGGCTAGTAACGCATTTAAAGTTTTGTGAAACCTTTCACAAACAGCATTGGATGCAGGGTAGAATGGTGCTGTTTTAACGTGGTGAATTCGAAATGTATCGGAGATGCGTTTCATCAGATGATTACAGAATTCGAGACCACGATCTGTTAAGAAACGCAAAGGACAACCATGAGTAGAGATATAGGAGTTAATTATCAAATCTGCTATCGTTGTTGCAGACTTATTTGACACACAGTAACACTCAGGATACGCCGAAAATAAATTAACGAATGTCACTATATATCTGTTTCCTCTATCTGTCATCGGAAGTGGACCAATCAAATCTATGTTTATTGTCTCATTAACTGCCGTTGGGATATGGGCTTCATGCAATGGTGCATTAATTTTTCGCAGCTTCCTAGAATTACAAGGTACACACGACTTAACGAAATTCAATATCTGCGGGTACATGCGTGGCCAGTAATAGCGCTCAGCTATCTTGCTATACGTTTTATCATATCCCAAATGACCTGCGTAATCAGAATGGCAAGCAGTAATAACCTCTTGAATTAAAACACGCGGTATGACAACTTGACAACGAAGCATATGAGCCTTTGTCTGTGTTGACAAATGACAAAGCAAACCCTCCTCCATGTAATATGACTCTACAAGCTTCAACTATCGTAACGAAATCCGTGGCTTCTGTAAAACATCGATAATTAGTGCCAAGTTCAAATCCTGCTGCTGTAATAAACGAAAGTGATTAGGATCAGTTAGTGGAACTAGGGTCTCAGTGGCCTGAGTATCGGTTCCCGTTACAAGAACATCGCTGGGCTGTTCATTTTCTATTGCGTCGACCAAAAAACACATTTCGTCCAATTGCTCCATTGCGTCATCAACGAAACTGGACCCCAGAGACGTCTGCAGGCGTGATAGCGCATCAGCTTGTTCGTTAAATTTTCCCCGCATATATTGCATCTTTAAATCATACTATGAAAGAATAACAGCCCACCTTTGCAATTGAGCATTAGTGAGTGATTTAGCTGATAGTATAAACTTCAGAGGTTTATGATCGGAATACACGATACATCGATTTCCTAAGAGGAAATGAGGTAATTGTGTCAGCGAATATACTATTGCGAACGCCTCTTTTTCCACGATTGGCCAGTTCAACTGCGGACCTGTAAGCTGTTTAGAAACATACATAATTACATGCTCTTTTCCATCCAAAGCAATCTGTGTTAATACCAATGCCACAGTGTGCGACGACGCATCACAGTATAAGGCAAAATCACGATCTGGCGCTGCAAGTGCTAGTATAAGTGCTGAAACAAGAGCAGATTTCAATGTATCAAATAAAGCTTGAACACTAGGAGTCCAAACAAAAGCAAATGGCTTTAGCTGTTAATAATGTGAGTGGGCGTGCAATTTTTACATAGTTACGGACAAACTTACGGTAATAGCCGCACAAACCTAGAAACTGGCGAACCCCCTTAGACGTCGTCGGCGGTTGCAGCTCGGCCACAGCTCGAACTTTCATAAAATTTGGGCAGATTCCCTCGCTATCTATCACGTGATCTAGAAAGTTAATACGAGCGCAAAGAAAAAAACACTTAACAAGTTTAAGCTTTATATTGGCTTCCTTCAAACGAGCGAAGACACGATTTAAGTGTACGATGTGGGTATCGAAATTAGGGCTATAAATAACTATATCGTTAATATATACTAAGACGAAATTTCCCACCAAATTATGCAGTACTCTGAATGGACTATTCATAAGTCTTTGAAATGCAGACGGCGCGTTCGTTAAACCATATGCTAGAGCTGTAAAATTCTATCTGACAAGAGGGTGTGACGAAACTCGCTTTATGTTGATGCTTCCTAGCAATTGGCATCTGGTGATATGCAGAACAGAGATCAAGGATA